GAACAATTCAAAAACATTTGACAATATTTATTGTCACTTTTATACAGATAATATAACAGATAATGAAGATATGTATTATTTAAGGAGGTTCAACTGACTCAACTGAAACCAATCTTTTCAAGGAAAAGAAGGGCTGCATTTAAAATCAAAATGGTGAAAATAAATATAATAATAATCTTAAAATAAAGATAAAATATATACTTCATTATTGAAAAATAAAATAAAGTATAGCAGCAGCTTGAGTTTCCCCTTTTTCTCAACATATATAGATATCTCAACATATTTTAACAATTGAACAGTTTTAGCTTCTCTTTCTTTCCCTCTTTTATCCAACTCCCCCACATTCTGTTGTTCAGTGAGAGAACTGAGCTCTAGCTTTTCCTGCCAGGAGTTTAAATCTAGGCTGGAATGGTGTCAGGGCCATTCTCATGCACATGTGCAGGTGCTCATTGGTGAGCCTGGATCGATATTTACTTTTAATAATGTTCATTGCAGAGAAAGCTGCCTCGCAGCTGTATGTGGAGCCAAACATGGTCAATGTGTACAGGGCTACTTTCCTCAGACCTGGGAAAGCTGTCTCAGAGACCATTTGGAGCCAGAAAGTGGCGGGGTCAGTTATTCCAAACTGCTCTTTCAGCGCCACATCTGCTTGGAGATCAATCAGTTGCATCTGGAGAGGCCCAGCATTTGCCCATTTGAAGTGCTGTGTGACTTCCTTTGAGAACCCACTGACATCTGTGATGAGAAATGGGTTCTGAATGAACAAGGTGAGCTGCTGTCCAAAGCGGAAGCTGTCAAAACGTTTGGAGAAGTTTAAAATCAGCTTATCAACAAAGTCACCAAAAGAAGACACATCTCTCTGTCCCTGAACCTGATCCTGCACTGCTGGGAAGTGTGCACAGTCTCCCTGCAGGTCTTCCTTGAACACTTCAAGTTTCCTCTGAAAGGAGCGGACAGCTGTCATCAGTTCACAAATTGTATTGTCCTTACCCTGTAGCTTCAAATTAAGTTCATTAAGGTGTGAAGTGATATCAACAAAAAAGGCCACATTATCCATCCTTTTCTCATCCTTTAAAAAGAGAGAAAACTCTGTTGCCTTCTGACTTCTCAGCTCTTCCATGAAAGCTGCGACTTCCCTTCTGATGGACCAAAAGCGCTCTAACACCCTGCCTTTGCTTAGCCATCTCACGTTGTTGTGCAGCAACAGATCATCAGCGTTTGCATCAACTTCTCTGAGGAATTCCCTGAGCATGCGATGCTGATAGGAAGAGGATGCCCTGAGAAAATTGATCATCTTCATCATTGTGTTCATCACTTCAGCATGCTCATCTGACAGGGTGGAGCACAGGACAGATTGATGTATTATGCAGTGGTAAGAGATGAGCTCAGGATTGTCCTCTTTCATTCTTGCCACAGCTCCTTTCTCTCTCCCTATCATGGCAGGGGCTCCATCTGTGGTTATTGAAACCACTTGTTTTGGCTCTATTCCTCGCTGTGTTAACATCTCCCTAATGGCCAGGTAGATGTCCTCTCCTCTGGTACTTGTCTTAAGGGGAGTTACACCTAACACATCTTCACAGAACTCTTTCTTTTCTTGGTTGAAGAACCTTACATAAACTAACAGCTGAGCATTGTCAGACACATCAGTGGACTCATCTACAGCTAAGCCTACACATGGTACCTTATGAATGGCTTCATCCAGCTGGGCCAGCACATCCTGGGTTAACATTTCACTTTTCTTTGTGGCTGATGATGCTGACATGGGTATTTGCTTTATTTTGTCACAAAGCTCTTCTTTCTGTTTCCCCTCAAGTAAAGTTTCAGCTACTGCACTCATGCACTCCTTGACAACCCCTCCATCAGTAAATGGCTTTTTGTGTTGACCCAAAATCCAAGTGACTCTGAGGGAACATTCATTAGCACGTTGTTGGGCAGTGAATGAATGGGTCAGGATCCGGGTGGATTGTTCATATTGGGCTCTGAGGCTGCTTATTTTCTGTGACCGCAGTTCAGACTTGAGTGGGTATGTTTGGTGGAAAACTTTGTGCTTTGTCTCATAGTGGCGTTTCACGTTGGCACTTTTTATGAGTGCCACTGTCTCTGAGCATATGAGACAGACTGGTTTTGTGTTTCCAGTGGGAAGAATGAACATGAAAGAGTCTGTCCATTCTGGGTTGAAAGCTCTGTTTTTGCTGTCCACTTTTCTCTTCTTAGAGAGCGCCATGTGTAGTTCTCCGGCTCACTCTGTCTCTTTTCTGTCTCGCTGTATTACTCACTCTTCTCCCGCTGTATTACTCTCTTCTCCCGCTGTCTTTCTCACTCTTCTCCCGCTGTATTACTCTCTTCTCCCGCTGTCTTTCTCACTCTTCTCCCGCTGTCTTTCTCACTCTTCTCCCGCTGTATTACTCACTCTTCTCCCGCTGTATTACTCTCTTCTCCCGCTGTATTACTCACTCTTCTCCCGCTGTATTACTCTCTTCTCCCGCTGTATTACTCTCTTCTCCCGCTGTATTACTCACTCTTCTCCCGCTGTATTACTCTCTTCTCCCGCTTCTCCCGCTGTATTACTCACTCTTCTCCCGCTGTATTACTCTCTTCTCCCGCTTCTCCCGCTGTATTACTCACTCTTCTCCCGCTGTCTTTCTCGCTCTTCTCCCGCTGTATTACTCACTCTTCTCCCGCTGTATTACTCTCTTCTCCCGCTGTCTTATCTGCCTTCTCCCGCTGTCTTTCTCTCTCTTCTCCCGCTGTCTTTCTCCCGCTTCTCCCGCTGTATTACTCTCTTCTCCCGCTGTCTTATCTGCCTTCTCCCGCTGTCTTTCTCACTCTTCTCCCGCTGTATTACTCTCTTCTCCCGCTGTATTACTCACTCTTATCTGACTTCTTTCTCTGTCATCTCTCGCATGATCGCTCACTGTCTCACTGTCTGGCAGCCAGCGCCGGGAATGCACAGATTCGATTGGCTGAGTAGCATCACGTGGGATGGCTTAACACGAATGCAATTGGTCAGTGGATTTCCTGATTCGCTAAACCAGTACCGTAAAGTCTAGAAACGCTGCGCCGGTCAAAATAGAAGCGCCCCGTCAAAATGTAAAATACTTGAATAATTTATTGACTATAGGTCCGGGTCCGTATAGGACGGCGTCTGGGTCCGGACCCGGACCGCGGTCCGCCTGTTAGTGACCCCCGCCCTAGACCAACGAGCCAGAAGATGCAGATTTTTAGAGATGGTCACATGTCCATGACAAGCTCAAGAAGACCTCAGCCTAGCACCTATACAGGTAGTCTTGAAAACTGGACAGAGCTCTGGAAACGACGCCCACAAAATTTTCTTGGACATGGGTCTAAGTAGGTTTGCCAGATTTGGCTGATTCTCAAAAAGCTAAGAGTTATAAAAGTAGGAATTGCCCTTTTGAACACAGTTTCACCTAGTACTACCTTGATTTATTGAGTAGTTGAACAGAGCGACTATGCAAGGTAAGGGAAAGGGCTCGTCCGGGATTTGAACCCGGGACCTCTCGCACCCTAAGCGAGAATCATACCCCTAGACCAACGAGCCACAAGATGCAGAACTTCAAAGATGGTCCCATGTCCACGACAACCTCAAAAAGAGCTCAGACGAGCACCTATACAGGCAGTCTCGAAGGCTCGACCGAGCTCTAGAGCCCATGCCCATACACTTCTGGTGGACTTGGGTCTAAGTAGGTTTACCAGATTTGGCTGATTGTCAATGAGAGTTGTCCTGTAATGGTCAAATCTTTCCATCATTGGCTGGTGGCTGGTGTTTATTTTTGACCCTGCTGTGGTTTTCCATTACCTTTACTGAAATGTATTCTGCAAGAGTCCAAAATGGTGTGAAAGCCCTTGTGAACAGGAATTCAGCTTGTACCACCTTGCTTTATTGAGTAGTTGATCTGATCGACTATGCAAGGAAAGGGAGAGGGCTCGTCCGGGATTTGAACCCGGGACCTCTCGCACCCAAAGCGAGAATCATACCCCTAGACCAACAAGCCAAAAGATGCAGACTTTTAGAGATGGTCACGTGTCCAAGACAAGCTCAAAAAGAGCTCAGCCTAGCAGCTATATAAGGCAGTCTTGAACACTTGACATAGGTCTGGAAGCGACGCCCTCACAATTATCTTGGGTCTAAGTAGGTTTACCAGATTTGGCTGATTGTCAATGAGAGCTGTCCTATAATGGTCAAATCTTTCCATCATTGGCTGGTGGCAGGTATTTATTTTTTACCCTGTTTTGGTTTTCGATTAACCTTATTGAAATGTATTCTGTAAAGAGTTGTAAAAGAAGGAATTGCCCTTTTGAACACAGTTTCACCAATACTACCTTGATTTATTGAGTAGTTGAACTGAGCGACTATGCAAGGTAAGGGAAAGGGCTCGTCCGGGATTTGAACCCGGGACCTCTCGCACCCTAAGCGAGAATCATACCCCTAGACCAACGAGCCAGAAGATGCAGATTTTTAGAGATGGTCACATGTCCATGACAAGCTCAAGAAGACCTCAGCCTAGCACCTATACAGGTAGTCTTGAACACTGGACAGAGCTCTGGAAGCGACGCCCACAAAATGTTCTTGGACATGGGTCTAAGTAGGTTTACCAGATTTGGCTGATTCTCAAAAAGCTAAGAGTTCAAAAAGCTGTAAATGCCCTTGTGACCACGGATTCACCTAGTACTACCTTGCTTTATTGAGTAGTTGATCTGAGCGACTATGCAAGGAAAGGGAGAGGGCTCCTCCAATTATCTTGGGTCTAAGTAGGTTTACCAGATCTGGCTGATTCTCAATGAGACATGTCCTATAATGGGACGTGTCTTTCCATCATTGGCTGGTGGCAGGTGTTTATTTTTGACGCTTTTTTAGTTTCCGATTTACCTTACTGAAATGTATTCTGTAAAGAGTTGTAATAGCAGGAAATAACCTTGTGAACACAGTTTCACCTTGTACTATGTTCCTGTATGGAGCGGTTGTCCTGTATCCACATCTCTGGACGAGGAGAGGATTTGAACCTGGGACCTCTCGCACCCAAAGCGAGAATCATACCTCTAGACTAACGAGCCACATGATGCAGAACTTCAAAGATGGTCCCATGTCCACGACAAGCTCAAAAAGAGATCAGACGAGCACCTATACAGGCAGTCTCGAAGGCTCGACCGAGCTCTAGAGCCCATGCCCATGCACTTATGTTGGACATGGGTCTAAGTAGGTTTACCAGATTTGGCTGATTGTTCAATGAGAGCTGTCCTGTAATGGTCAAATCTTTCCATCATTGGCTGGTGGCTGGTGTTCATTTTTGACCCTGCTGTGGTTTTCCATTACCTTTACTGAAATGTATTCTGCAAGAGTCCAAAAAGGTGTGAAAGCCCTTGTGAACAGGAATTCACCTTGTACCACCTTGCTTTATTGAGTAGTAGATCTGAGCAACTATGCAAGGAAAGGGAGAGGGCTCGTCCGGGATTTGAACCCGGGACCTCACGCACCCAAAGCGAGAATCATACCCCTAGACCAACGAGCCAGAAGATGCAGTCTTTTAGAGATGGTCACATGTCCAAGACAAGCTCAAAAAGAGCTCAGCCTAGCACCTATACAGGTAGTCTTGAAAACTTGACAGAGCTCTGGAAACGACGCCCACAAAATTTTCTTGGACATGGGTCTATGTAGGTTTGCCAGATTTGGCTGATTCTCAAAAAGCTAAGAGTTATAAAAGAAGGAATTGCCCTTTTGAACACAGTTTCACCTAGTACTACCTTGATTTATTGAGTAGTTGAACAGAGCGACTATGCAAGGTAAGGGAAAGGGCTAGTCCAGGATTTGAACCCGGGACCTCTCGCACCCTAAGCGAGAATCATACCCCTAGACCAACGAGCCACACGATGCAGAACTTCAAAGATGGTCCCATGTCCACGACAACCTCAAAAAGAGCTCAGACGAGCACCTATACAGGCAGTCTCGAAGGCTCGACCGAGCTCTAGAGCCCATGCCCATACACTTCTGGTGGACTTGGGTCTAAGTAGGTTTACCAGATTTGGCTGATTGTCAATGAGAGTTGTCCTGTAATGGTCAAATCTTTCCATCATTGGCTGGTGGCTGGTGTTTATTTTTAACCCTGCTGTGGTTTTCCATTACCTTTACTGAAATGTATTCTGCAAGAGTCCAAAATGGTGTGAATACCCTTGTGAACAGGAATTCACCTTGTACCACCTTGCTTTATTGAGTAGTTGATCTGAGCGACTATGCAAGGAAAGGGAGAGGGCTCGTCCGGGATTTGAACCCGGGACCTCTCTCACCCAAAGCGAGAATCATACCCCTAGACCAACGAGCCAGAAGATGTAGACTTTTAGAGATGGTCACGTGTCCAAGACAAGCTCAAAAAGAGCTCAGCCTAGCAGCTATACAAGGCAGTCTTGAACACTCGACATAGGTCTGGAAGCGACGCCCTCACAATTATCTTGGGTCTAAGTAGGTTTACCAGATTTGGCTGATTGTCAATGAGAGCTGTCCTATAATGGTCAAATCTTTCCATCATTGGCTGGTGGCAAGTATTTATTTTTTACCCTGTTTTGGTTTTCGATTAACCTTATTGAAATGTATTCTGTAAAGAGTTGTAAAAGTAGGAATTGCCCTTTTGAACACAGTTTCACCACTACCTTGATTTACTGAGTAGTTGAACTGAGCAACTATGCAAGGTAAGGGAAAGGGCTCGTCCGGGATTTGAACCCGGGAGCTCTCGCACCCTAAGCGAGAATCATACCCCTAGACCAGGGGTATTCAACTAAAATTCAAATAGGTCCAGTTAGAGAAAATGTCCTCAAGCAAAGGTCCGGAACATCATAATGTCTAACTTGCATTATGATTCAGTGTGATATGTATTGAAGCCTAGTAGTTGTATCAACGTCTGCATGTAATCAACAACTGACTGTCAGATCAATATAGGAAGAACAATTCAAAAACATTTGACAATATTTATTGTCACTTTTATACAGATAATATAACAGATAATGAAGATATGTATTATTTAAGGAGGTTCAACTGACTCAACTGAAACCAATCTTTTCAAGGAAAAGAAGGGCTGCATTTAAAATCAAAATGGTGAAAATAAATATAATAATAATCTTAAAATAAAGATAAAATATATACTTCATTATTGAAAAATAAAATAAAGTATAGCAGCAGCTTGAGTTTCCCCTTTTTCTCAACATATATAGATATCTCAACATATTTTAACAATTGAACAGTTTTAGCTTCTCTTTCTTTCCCTCTTTTATCCAACTCCCCCACATTCTGTTGTTCAGTGAGAGAACTGAGCTCTAGCTTTTCCTGCCAGGAGTTTAAATCTAGGCTGGAATGGTGTCAGGGCCATTCTCATGCACATGTGCAGGTGCTCATTGGTGAGCCTGGATCGATATTTACTTTTAATAATGTTCATTGCAGAGAAAGCTGCCTCGCAGCTGTATGTGGAGCCAAACATGGTCAATGTGTACAGGGCTACTTTCCTCAGACCTGGGAAAGCTGTCTCAGAGACCATTTGGAGCCAGAAAGTGGCGGGGTCAGTTATTCCAAACTGCTCTTTCAGCGCCACATCTGCTTGGAGATCAATCAGTTGCATCTGGAGAGGCCCAGCATTTGCCCATTTGAAGTGCTGTGTGACTTCCTTTGAGAACCCACTGACATCTGTGATGAGAAATGGGTTCTGAATGAACAAGGTGAGCTGCTGTCCAAAGCGGAAGCTGTCAAAACGTTTGGAGAAGTTTAAAATCAGCTTATCAACAAAGTCACCAAAAGAAGACACATCTCTCTGTCCCTGAACCTGATCCTGCACTGCTGGGAAGTGTGCACAGTCTCCCTGCAGGTCTTCCTTGAACACTTCAAGTTTCCTCTGAAAGGAGCGGACAGCTGTCATCAGTTCACAAATTGTATTGTCCTTACCCTGTAGCTTCAAATTAAGTTCATTAAGGTGTGAAGTGATATCAACAAAAAAGGCCACATTATCCATCCTTTTCTCATCCTTTAAAAAGAGAGAAAACTCTGTTGCCTTCTGACTTCTCAGCTCTTCCATGAAAGCTGCGACTTCCCTTCTGATGGACCAAAAGCGCTCTAACACCCTGCCTTTGCTTAGCCATCTCACGTTGTTGTGCAGCAACAGATCATCAGCGTTTGCATCAACTTCTCTGAGGAATTCCCTGAGCATGCGATGCTGATAGGAAGAGGATGCCCTGAGAAAATTGATCATCTTCATCATTGTGTTCATCACTTCAGCATGCTCATCTGACAGGGTGGAGCACAGGACAGATTGATGTATTATGCAGTGGTAAGAGATGAGCTCAGGATTGTCCTCTTTCATTCTTGCCACAGCTCCTTTCTCTCTCCCTATCATGGCAGGGGCTCCATCTGTGGTTATTGAAACCACTTGTTTTGGCTCTATTCCTCGCTGTGTTAACATCTCCCTAATGGCCAGGTAGATGTCCTCTCCTCTGGTACTTGTCTTAAGGGGAGTTACACCTAACACATCTTCACAGAACTCTTTCTTTTCTTGGTTGAAGAACCTTACATAAACTAACAGCTGAGCATTGTCAGACACATCAGTGGACTCATCTACAGCTAAGCCTACACATGGTACCTTATGAATGGCTTCATCCAGCTGGGCCAGCACATCCTGGGTTAACATTTCACTTTTCTTTGTGGCTGATGATGCTGACATGGGTATTTGCTTTATTTTGTCACAAAGCTCTTCTTTCTGTTTCCCCTCAAGTAAAGTTTCAGCTACTGCACTCATGCACTCCTTGACAACCCCTCCATCAGTAAATGGCTTTTTGTGTTGACCCAAAATCCAAGTGACTCTGAGGGAACATTCATTAGCACGTTGTTGGGCAGTGAATGAATGGGTCAGGATCCGGGTGGATTGTTCATATTGGGCTCTGAGGCTGCTTATTTTCTGTGACCGCAGTTCAGACTTGAGTGGGTATGTTTGGTGGAAAACTTTGTGCTTTGTCTCATAGTGGCGTTTCACGTTGGCACTTTTTATGAGTGCCACTGTCTCTGAGCATATGAGACAGACTGGTTTTGTGTTTCCAGTGGGAAGAATGAACATGAAAGAGTCTGTCCATTCTGGGTTGAAAGCTCTGTTTTTGCTGTCCACTTTTCTCTTCTTAGAGAGCGCCATGTGTAGTTCTCCGGCTCACTCTGTCTCTTTTCTGTCTCGCTGTATTACTCACTCTTCTCCCGCTGTATTACTCTCTTCTCCCGCTGTCTTTCTCACTCTTCTCCCGCTGTATTACTCTCTTCTCCCGCTGTCTTTCTCACTCTTCTCCCGCTGTCTTTCTCACTCTTCTCCCGCTGTATTACTCACTCTTCTCCCGCTGTATTACTCTCTTCTCCCGCTGTATTACTCACTCTTCTCCCGCTGTATTACTCTCTTCTCCCGCTGTATTACTCTCTTCTCCCGCTGTATTACTCACTCTTCTCCCGCTGTATTACTCTCTTCTCCCGCTTCTCCCGCTGTATTACTCACTCTTCTCCCGCTGTATTACTCTCTTCTCCCGCTTCTCCCGCTGTATTACTCACTCTTCTCCCGCTGTCTTTCTCGCTCTTCTCCCGCTGTATTACTCACTCTTCTCCCGCTGTATTACTCTCTTCTCCCGCTGTCTTATCTGCCTTCTCCCGCTGTCTTTCTCTCTCTTCTCCCGCTGTCTTTCTCCCGCTTCTCCCGCTGTATTACTCTCTTCTCCCGCTGTCTTATCTGCCTTCTCCCGCTGTCTTTCTCACTCTTCTCCCGCTGTATTACTCTCTTCTCCCGCTGTATTACTCACTCTTATCTGACTTCTTTCTCTGTCATCTCTCGCATGATCGCTCACTGTCTCACTGTCTGGCAGCCAGCGCCGGGAATGCACAGATTCGATTGGCTGAGTAGCATCACGTGGGATGGCTTAACACGAATGCAATTGGTCAGTGGATTTCCTGATTCGCTAAACCAGTACCGTAAAGTCTAGAAACGCTGCGCCGGTCAAAATAGAAGCGCCCCGTCAAAATGTAAAATACTTGAATAATTTATTGACT